TATTTATTTTTACTGTGGGGTGATTTTCTTATTTTTATTTAGGCATCGGGTTTATTATTTTAAATTTTAAAAAAAATTATCATAGATGGTTTAAATTAAAAAGGTGTATATTAACGAAATTTTTTATACATTTAAATGACTCGATGTTTATTTTTAAATCTTTAAATAATTGACGTCTGAAGACAAAAGACATTTACCGTTTTTTAATTGGGGACCTGGGGGGCCAGAAACGGTATGTAAGTTTTTTTAGGTACGGGTTTATAATAATTTTAAAATTAACAGAGTTTTTAAAAAATTTGAAATAACTTTTAAAAACATTTAAAATTTTTTGGAATTTTCCAGACAAAATGGAGAGACTTAGTGCTTACTGAGCTCACGAAGAATGTAAACAAACAGGGTGGGGCACGGTGACCGTATTAGAAAGTCAGGTGGGGGGAGCCGTATAGCGAGTTTTGGTCATAATTTGAAATGACCATATTAGCGGAACGCCGTAAAGTGAAACGCCATAAAGCGGGGCCCTCCTGTATGCTGCTATGTGTGATAATCTATAGAGAGAAAATCTATAGAGAGAAAATAACTTTTTTGTTTCATGTTTATGGATTCACTACAAATCTTATGATTACAAGCATTGATCCTGATACCAATCTCTTATTTAATGACTTAAATGAATCAAACAGTTACTGTAATTACTACACTGCAGAACAATCAAAGGCACTTCTCAGTGCCAACAACAACATAACTATCTTTAACTACAATATCAGATCTTTAAGCAAGCATTACGATGACCTCATAGCATTACTAAATTCCTTACATGCCAATATGTCCATCATTACACTAACTGAAACCTGGCTAAAGCCTGATAGTACAGATGTCTATGCCATTCCTGGTTACACAGCCATACACAACTGTAGGCCAGACCAACAAGGGGGTGGCACAGCCATATACTACTCAGACAACTAGAATGTATCACTAATACTTTGCACAAGGGATGAACATGGGGAATATATAATAGCTAAATTCAAATCCAAATACCTACAAAAACCTCTCACATTGATAAACATCTACAGAGTTCCACAGTCAAACATTAGCCAATTTAGTCAAAACCTAGGAAGTATGATAACTGATGCAACATGAACAAAGATCACTTACTACTCTCAGGTGACTTCAATATAAATCTCCTGCAAGACCAGGACCCACACGTTACTGAATTCACAAACAATGAGTAACTGTATGTTACTACCAACAGTAACAAAACCTACAAGAGTTACAGAGACTAGTGTTTCCCTACTTGACCACATCTGAACCAACACCATATCCCTTTAAAATCAGGCATAATTACAGATAATACCACAGACCACTACCCTACTTTCCTCATAACAACTCTGGTAAACTACCCCAAGACACCACTAAAGTCACCTTCAGACTTCACAATGAGGCAGCCATTAATAACTTCACAACAGCAGTAGCAAACATTGATTGGCACACTGAGCTAGAAATCTATACAGATATTGACGAATGTATTAATAATTTTCTAAAAAAAGACCCAATACCTCTTTTAACAAGCACTGCCCTAAAAAACTAAACAGATGACAGCTAAGAGACTGAACAGTCCCTGGCTAACACCCAGCATTCTCAAATCCATAAATACAAAACACCAATATGAAAAAACAGTACAGAATGGGTCACATAAACCAGAGACCAAACAAAACGTTACTCGTCAATCCTAACCAGCCTGATAAGAAGGGCAAAAAAAATTGTATTATGAGAACAGATTATCCAACTTACGAGGTGATATAAAAAAGACCTGGAAAACCCTATCAGAAATTCTGGGAACAAAAAAGATATCACGAAATAGCGAAATAAAATTAGCAAAATCAGATGAACCCCAACTCCCACCAACAGAAACAGCAAACAGACTCAATGATTTCTTCTCCACTATAGGACAAAACCTTGCCAATAAAATCCCAAGCTCAGATACCCCACCAAATGACTACCTCACCGGCAACTACCCGAACACACTGTTCCTAGCTCCGACTAACCCATACGAAGTCTCCCTTATTATCAACGCACTAAAAAACAAGGCAGGAGATTTAAATACCTTACCACCCTTTATATACAAAAAACTGTCACAAGTGCTATCACCAATCATTGCAACACTCTTTAACAAATCCATTGAATCCTCCACCTTCCCTACAGTACTCAAAATAGCAAGGGTCACCCGATCCACAAAGGAGGAGACCAAACAGAGTTGAATAAACTATAGGCCAATATCCAACTTACACCCTCTCTCAAAAATCTTCGAAAATTAATTCATAAACGAATCTACTCCTACCTTATCTCCCAAAACATACTCAACCCCTGCCAATTTGGATTCAGGCCTAATAAAAATACTAATGATGCTATTATACACATGCTAGAACATATATACACTGCAATATAGAAAAAAGAAGTCCACTGGGATCTTCATTGACTTACGTAAAGCTTTTGATACAGTTGACCATGACTTGCTCCACGTAAAATTGTCACACTATGGTATAAGAGGGCACTCCCTCAACTACCTCAAGTCATACCTCAGCAACAGAAGCCAATATGTGTACGCAAATGGGGCAAACTCTTCTGCGCAACCAATTACAATTGGTGTCCCACAGGGAAGTGTCCTTGGCCCTCTTCTCTTTCTCCTATACATAAATGACCTTCCAAATGCTTCGCAATTACTCAAACCCACACTATTTGCAGATGACACTACATGCGTCTTCTCTCACCCGAGCCCAGTCACGCTAGCCAATACTGTAAATACCGAATTACAGAAAATATCTACCTGGATGAGGACTAACAAACTTACACTAAACATTGACAAAACCTACTTCATTCAGTTTGGTAACAGAGCTACAGATGTCCCTCTTAACATAATGATAAAGGGATCACCTATCACAAAGCTAACAGAGGGAAAATTCTTAGGAATCCTTTTGAAAAAGACTAAAATTTCATTACACTATACAACAAATTTTAAAAAAATTTTTCCAAAGCTGTGGGCATACTATCAAAGATAGGGTACTATGTTCCACAGTCAGCCCCCTGGCCCTATATCACTCTTTTTTCCCCATCTCACCTTGGAATTTGTGCGGGGGTAAACAACAATTAACCTCTCAGACCACTAATTACCCCCCCAAAGGCTGCAGTTAAAAGAAACAAATTTCACTACGGGGGCAGCACCTCCACAATATTAAATAACTAAACCTATACCTACAAAAACCCTACTTTTACTCACCTTTTTACATACTAGAACACTTAACTCTGATTTAAACCCCTCCCCCAAACTCTCCTTCCCAAACCCTAAACAGAACAATGACCATAAAAAAGGAAAGATCCTCTTTGATTTTCCTGGTCCATTCACACTATGCAAAAACTAAAATGACATAAAAGGCCCTAAAATCTGGAATTCTTACCTGTAAATATAAAAGAAACACTACCCGTTTTTTAAAATTTAAGTCTCTTCTCAAGGGGTCTAAAACACCCAATTATTTGGGGGCGTTGGGTTCCCAAACCGTATTCCCTGGAACGGGAGGGGGAGATCATGATTATATCACTGGAAAACCCTAGAGGGATAGTACCGAATTGCCACGAAAATCACCCAAGGGCCCCCGACTTGGCAGACGATGCCCCACCCCCCCCAAATAAAAAGCAGGGGTGCACAGCATTTAAAGGACCATAAAAAAAGTTCGGGGGCCCCGGGGACGTTCAATGCCCCCAGCACCATAAGGGGGATTCCAAACAGCCCCCTGGCAGTCTTAAAGCTGGCACTGGACAAGCACCAAAAGTCTTTCCCGGATCGCCGGGTGTGGCTCGTATTTGGTTTGCGTGCCCCCGCAGCAACAGCCTGGTTGATCAGGTTGATCCACCAGGGGCCTGGTCCAGACCGGGGGGGGGGGGCGTTGACCCCGGAACTCTCCCCCGGTAAACCCAGGTAAACTCCCCCCAAAACCCAAATAAAATGAAAACTAAACCCTTAAAATTGTATATTTTTAAAGTTTTCACAATTATATCACATAAATTTTAAAACCCTAAAACCCAATTAACTTTATTATTTTTTAAATACACTCCCTAACAGAATACTCCAAGACAAAATTACAAATGCTGCAACCAAATCCCTGTCTTTGTAATCTCATTTGTGCTTTATAGTTATCTGTTACAATAATGTATTATCACGATTTATCATTGCTTAGTTATTTTAACCCACCCAAAATGCTATGATAGTATAAGGGGCTTTGGCATGCGCTTTATCTGTATTTTTTTGTACCCTGTATGTATGTCAAATTTTTAATAAATAAATAAATAAATAAATAAATAAATGGTGGAGACAAGTGTTATCATATTTACCCCTGTGCTTACTCATTTTCTTAATAAAAGCCCCAAGCAAGTTGGGAATGGTACTTGTTTCCCATATCCTTTCATAACTCTGTCAAAAATGTGGGTGTTCCCTAGAGTTTTTACTGATTTATGTTATTTATATTGTTTTTATGTAATTAGATCAATTTTGATAGGCAAAAAAGCTGTAGTGTTGATATTGCGTAAAAAAGCATATTCCCCTGCTTATGGAGGGCTCAGGGCAACCGCGTGGCTTCAAAGCCACCTTTCTTTAAGGAAAGTCTGTGTAGGTGCTTTACATAATGAGAAGCATTTCTTTTATTCATTGGAACCATGGCTAGGGCTAAAAGTAAGCAGGTTAAAACAATAAATGGAGAAAAAGAAATTGGAATGACTTATGCAGCAAGTAGCACCACCAAACAGTATAAGCAGGTTGGTGTGGCGACCCTGGAAATTTGAAATTATGCTAGCCAAAATTAGTGCCGAATAACTGAAGGAACCGAATAACTGATTGCCGGATTTGTGATGGCGGACCTGTACCATGCAAGACACAGAGAATGGAAATAGAGTATCAGTCATGGGAGAGTGCTAAACAGGGAGAAAACCGAGACAAAATGTTTGATAAGTTTACTCACCTTCTTACATACTTCATCTTCAAGATATACATATTTCTTTGGTTTTGAAGCAAATTCTTTTCTAACAGCTTCTATATATTTGCCTATCTTGTCTTCCATTTCTGATGGTCCACCCTGCAAATCTGTGGAGACCTTATTCTCTCTTTGCACATCACTTTCATTGCATTTGGAATTTTGATTTCCTTGCATAGAATTAATTTTCCCCTTTTCATATTTCTGACATTCCTTATCATTATTGGTATTACTAAGTTCTGAATCAGTCATTTCATTCTGAGATTTTACATTGTGCCATTTACTATCCTCAGCTCCATTATTCACTGCCTTCACAATCTGTTTCGAGTTTCCGGTCAACTTTTTAAAGCAAGTACATTCTTGCTCAGGTTTTATATGATCATTTGACATCATATTCTTCTGATTAGAATCCTTAACTTTTTGGAATTTTTCTTCTTTTTTAGAACCCTCAGTTTTTGCTTTACTTTTCTTAGCTTTCTTTAAGAAAGCAGTTTCTTGTTTAGAATATTTAGCTGTTCCAGTTTCATGCTTAATTTTAGAATCCTCGTGTTTAAAATTTACAGACTCTTTCTTGCCACTGATATAATCTTGTTCACACACTTTATCCTTAACCCTGGAACAACTGTTCTCAGAATCAAGACCTTTGTGATGGAGCATTTTATTTTCCAATATATATTTACCATTCTCTTTTTCTAATCCTCTAACTTCTTGTCTGGGCTTCTGTTCTTGTTGAGATTTCACATCTTTCGTGAGCCTCGATTCTCCTTGCTCTGTATTATTCTTGGAATACTTACTTTCCAGCTCACGTTGCACACCTTCCTCTTTACACTTCTGGAATGCTTGCCCTGAGTTGTTGCTGTGTTGTTCAAATTCCACAACAGCCTGATTACATTTCCAATTGTCTTGTTTTGCATCCTTTAAGGTCAACTTTGATTTAGAATTTTCCTGCTTAGAAACTGGATCTTCCTCCTTAGTGTTAGAATAATGCTGTTTACAATCCTCAGTCACATCCTGCAGGTTGGAACATTTCTCAATTGTCTGCTTCAGGCTACAATTTTCTTGTTTAAGATACTCATCTGTTTGTTTACTCTTGGAATCCTCTTGTTTCACATAATCAGTGTCGCAGAGGAAATTTTTATCGTTATCTTCACAATACTCCATAATAAGCCTCAGCTCTTCATCAATAGAGTAATCTTCAAGCACCTCATCTTTTGCCAATTGAAAATCTTCAATATTTTCTATTTCCAAATCAGTATTTTCAATCTTCTGATTATTATACAGATTTTCGCACGTCCCACTGTCTATCCCGAAGAATGCTTCGATTAACTCAGTGTTGTTGTTGCTTTTAGTATTCTCACTTGCATCAATAATTGTCTTAGAACCAGCACTAACTATATCACAAATTACACTGGACATTTCACAACTAATATTGACAGCTTCACAATGTGTACCAGACTCTTCCTTGCTGAAGTTATTATCAACATCTTCCTTTCTTTTATTCTTTTTCTGATCTTCATTCTGAGGTATCAATTTTACATTTGTTTTATCTGAAATATGTTTGCAACTACACTTACCTAATTTAATGTGTTTGTCATTTATTCCTTTGATCAATTTTTGCTGACTCTGGTTGGGCTTCTCTCTTTTATCAGATATCGGTAAATGTTTGTCTTTAGTGATGGATCTCTGAAAATTGTCTTTTCTATGATGGTTTTTCTCTGTAAGACACATTTTCTTACTATCAGTCTTTTTGTCTTGTTTTCTACGTAATTGATGGCTAGTGGAGCTGCTGTGCTTGCTAACTGATCTCCCTGAATGACTTCTCTTCTCATCATAGCTTTTCTTATGCCTCTCACAAGATGTTTTTGATTTTCTTGAATCATCTTTACTATATCTTCTGGAAGAATCTCTATTCTTTCCCTTATCATATGTTTTTGACACACCTTTATAGCTGTAGGACTTGCTTCTTTCTCTCCTGTGCTCTCTACTCTTACTACTTTCACCTGTTTTTGAAGAGCTTGTGTGTGCTTTCCTACTCTCCCTTTCTAGAATGCCAGACTGAGACCAAGGGCTCTGACAGCCTAACTCAGACTGGTCCTCATCATCCTCCAGAGCATCTACTACTTCGAAGTCATCCATGTTGAGTAAATCCAGCCAGTTTTCTTCCTCTGCCTCGTCTTCTGAAAGATATACACACATATATATAAGCACACGGGCTACAATGAATTTTTCTAAGAATATTAGTTTAATAAAAAATAAATATAATTAAGATATTCAACATTTATGTTCTTTCAGATAGTTTAACCCTTACAGGGTTGGTGCCGCACATGTACGGCTTGAGTGCCAGGGTTGATGCTGTATTTATACGCCAAAATTCTAGCGCCTTCAAATCGAGAGGAAGAAAAATCATAGGCCTACATATGAAAGAATGGGTCTGAGTGGTCAGTGTGCGCAGTATAAAAAAAAATCTGCAGCACGCAGTGCACGAGAAAAAAAATCCAATCGTGTTTTTGGTTTAAAACGGAGAGTTTGCAGTGTATTTTCATATGGTATTTATGGTTGTATTCTCATTTTCTTGGTCTTTTTTAACAGAATGGAAGAAATATTACAGACATAAGAGATGGATTGGTTTCATGATGAAAAGTACCTTGAAATTGAGCTCAAAACAGCAGAACTGTTCGATTTTTGCCGATGCTCAAGAGTAAACAAATTACGCCATGTGTCCAATACCCGTCAACTGGTGAGTCTAATATTCTTTCACAAGTGCACTGATATTATTTATAACATATTTACAATAATTCTCATGGGGAAGTGGAACAGAAGTCTTCCTCCATAAGCTATGCGTGTTGTAAGAGGCAATTAAAATGCCAGGAGCAAGAGGCTAGTAACCCCTTCTCCTGTATAAATTACTAAATTTAAAAAGGAGAAACTTTCATTTTTCTTTTTGGGCCACCCTGCCATGGTGGGATACGGCCAGTTTGAAAAAAAAAAATTACAATAATGCAGTAGTCTGCATAACAGTAAATCTTCTATTTTTTAAGAATAAAAATTCAAAATGGAAAGCAAGAGTAATATAAGAGGGGCCTGGAGATGTAACTAATGAACAGAGAAAATGTTATTTTAGTACCAGGAATGTCTGTCTTGTTTATTCTGGACCCTATTTTGATATTGGCATCTTTTGAAATTTGTGTGAAATTGGCCAAATTGCCAATTTCTGACCACTTTATTGGATAGTTGAAATAAGTAAATGGGTGGTTTCTTGCACTCAATTTATAGAACAAATGGAGCTCTAGCGAATTAGCTATGATTGTAGTCGACTGGAACAATGGAATTGGCTGAAAATAGGGCTCAAAGTAGGCAAAAATCACGGATGAGCAAATATCGTCGATATCGCTAACTTCATAAGTTAGCGATATTGGCGATATCAAATTTCATGCTTTTGGCCATGAGCTCAATTCACTCACTGCTGTGAGCAGTAAGTTTGGCCAAGATATGCGAGAATGCATCTACAGTGGACCCCCGGTATTCGATATTAATCCGTTCCTGAGAGCTCATCGAATACCAATAATATCGAAAACCGAATCAATTTTCCTCATAAGAAATAATGAAAATCAAATTAATCCATGCAAGACACCCAAAAGTATGAAAAAAAAAATTTTACTACATGAAATATTAAGTTTAATGCAGTAGAATAATTACAATAACAATAAAATAATTGACACTTACCTTTAATGAAGATCTGGTGATGATTGATGAGATGGAAGGAGGGGAGAGGTGTTAGTGTTTAGAAGGAGAATCCCCTTCCATTAGGACTTGAGGTAGCAAGTCCTTTTCCAGGGTTACTTCCCTTCTTCTTTTAATGCCACTAGGACCATCTTGAGAGTCACTGGACCTCTGTCGCACAAAAAATCTGTCCATAGAGCTCTGTACCTCCCGTTCCTTTACGATTTGTCTAAAATGGGCCACAACATTGTCATTGTAATAGCTGTGTTAGGGTGATTTTCATCCATAAAGGTTTGCACTTCAACCCAATGTGCACACATTTCCATTATTTTTAAAATAGGCACAATGTATTCCACAACTGGTATAGGCTTCTCAGGGTTAGCCCCAAACCTTTCAAAACCTTTCTTAATTTCCATACTAATTCTCACCCTTTTTACCACAGGGTTGGCACTAGAAGCTTTCTTGGGGCCCATGGTGACTTATTTTGCAGAAACAAGCACCAAACACAGTGATAATATGGATAATATGGAATGTACCGAATGTATCCTTAGATGCGCGCACACTGGCTGGCTTGTAAACACTGGCACACAAGGGGCAGTTCAGGCCACATGTGGACAGGTCTCGTACGAATCGTATCGAATACCGGGTTTTCAATTGAATACCGAGGAAAATTTTTTGCGATATAATGCATCGAATACCGGATTTATCGAATACCGGGGGTCCACTGTATGTGCTAAGTGTGCACCATGTAAAACAAATCCTGCAGCATGTAGTACGCGAGAAAAAAAAACACTGCATTTCTGGATTAAAACAGTGACTTTGCAATGTATTTTCATGTGTTTTTTACAGTTGTATTCATGGTTTCTCAGTCTCATTTGACAGAATTGAAGAAATGTTACAGAAATAGATATGATTTTGATTGGGTTTAGTGGTGAAAATGGCTTGAAACTGAGCTCATAGTAGCGGAAATGTTCGACGTTCAAGGGTAAACAAATCACATCACACATCCAATACATGTCAGCTGGTGGGTCAAATGTGTGTTCACGAATGGGCTGATATTATTTATACAATTATTACACTATTGGTATAAACCTTGGTAATAAATACCGGTTCGCATGAATGAGCATTGAAGTGACAGTAAGAGACAATTTACGGTACTCCAGTGTCCTCCACAGAGACTCCATGGGGCATTTGATGAACTGGGATGAAGCACAACTCATTCTCACCGAACCAGACCTTAGACAACGTCGATGTTTAGAAGCCTCGCTAATTGCCATCACCAACACAATAGAATGTAACACTGGAAACCACAAAATTTCTAAAATATTAGCATACATGACAGTCAAGCAGGCGAAGCACAACCTACCCAGCAACACAGGAGTCACATGATTTCATTGTCTACTCATCCTCATCCCAACATGGCATTCTTCAGGTCACTATGCGTCACTCACACCTCACTCTCCGCCTGTATACAGTGGGCCCTTAGTTAACGATATTAATCCATTCCTGAGAGCTTGTCCTTAACTGATTTTATCGTTATCCGAATTATTTTTCCCCATAAAAAATAATGGAAATCCAAATAATCCGTTCAAGACACCCAAAAGAATTAAAAAAAAAAAAATTTTCACATGAAATATACATTTTCGTACATAGAAAACAATGAGACATGCAGAATAATTTTTTTTTATTAACATACTGGCCGATTCCCACCAAGGCAGGGTGGCCCGAAAAAGGAGAACTTTCATCGTAAAAGAAACACTGTCTGTTTATAAATTCAAGTCTCTTTTTTAAAAATCACTTCCCCACCCTAAACCCTTAAAAAAAATATGAACAATTGTATCTCATAAATTTTTAAACCCGTGACCCAATCAAATTTTTTAAATTTTAATTACATTACCTAACAGAAAACATACTCCATTTTTCAAAATGCACAGAAACATAGTAAATACCATATACCCTGTTTTTTTAATTTACTCATTTTTCTTAATTGTTATTTGTTTACAAAAATTGAAAACCCCTAAATATATCATTGCTTTTTAATCTTAAGTTTTTTTTTTAAAGCCTCCCCCCAAAATTGCTCTGCATAAAAGGGGGTTTTGGGCCCATTTACATTTAAAACCACTCTATTTCTTTGTCTTCTAGGTATCATTTTTAAAAAAAAAATAAATAAAAAAATTCACCCCCACCCTTTTGTGTTGCCAGGGGGGTGTTTTAAAACAGGGTTTTAAAAAACCTGCAACTTTAACAGCCCCCCTTTCAGATGCAGCCCACTGTATTTCCCCATCTCCAGGACTCAAGTCCGGCCTCCCGGGTCTCCCTGAAATCCATTAAAAAATTTTTAACTTTGCCCCACACCCCCAACAGGGGGTAAGGGTAAAAAAACCCTTTTGTCTCCTTTCACCCCCTATCAAAAAACGTCATGCACGTTTTGCTGGAAAGGGTGCAACCCCATCACACACAAAACCTCCTTTATCCCATCCCCCAAAACCCCTTTCCCAGGCCAACCCCTAACCCCCCCTTCCCTCCATTACAGATTTTACTCTCAAAGTCATTCTGTTTTGTTCCCCTTTTCTTACAGTCCAAAACCCCCTCAACAACCCCCCCTCAGCCCCCTGGATAAAAAATTTTTGGGAATCCCCCCCTTCTCCTAATTTCCAAAATATGAATTCCCCTGCATTATATTTACACCCCCACATTGCCCTCAGACATGCATCTCCACGCTCCACCTCCTCCCTTTTTTTGCAAAATTCACAACCCGTTTCACACCCCTTTTCAAGGTGTTGGTACAAAATATACCTCAAAAAATTCCCCTCTTTGCTTCCACAGACAAAGTTTTTTTGTTCCACAGATCCCTAAATGCACCCCCTCACCCTTTTCCCCCCATCAATTCTATTTATTCACCTTATCCTTCAAAACACCCATCCTAACACGTCCCAAATCCTAAAAACGGGGGGACCCCTCAGGAAAGGCTTCAAACGGTAGCACCAAAATTGGCTAACGGGTCGCTTTGGCAAAAAATATTTGCTCATCTAACGCCAAAAAACTCAGCTAAGGGCTTTATCCCCAAAAATGTTTGTGCGGCCTGAGCGGGGCCCACCCTATGGGCTCCGTTTTTACAGCCAGTGTACCATTGTTTACAAAACTGTTGGGGATCATTCCATGTGTACATGCGATATATTTGTTTTTTTCCATCGTTTTTAGCACTTGTAACTGCCCAAATAAGCCACCAAAGGGGCCCAAAAAAAGCTTTCTAGTGCGAGCCCTGTGATAAAGAAGGGAAAAAAAAAAAAAAACAAGAAAAAAACTCGTAGCAAAGTTTCCAAAAAGGAAGCGGGAAAAAAAAAGAGGGGGGGCCTTTCCTTTCCCGCAGTGATTCAGTTATTCTACGATATTTACATCTAAAGCCGCAGGGGAACGATAAAGGGTTTAAAATGCCAGGGGCCCGCGATTTAAAATG